AGAAATTCCTTCATCTCATAAGCATTTCCACACCTCTATTGGAATATCATCAGGTCCAACACCTTTTCCACCCTTCATTTTCTTTAAAGTCTCTCTAACTTCGGTTATACTAATACGCCGATAAAAATAAAAATCTTTATTTTCATTTAGGGTGCTAAGGTATTTCTGGCCTCATATGAGAAAACAAATTACTAAGATGGTTAAATAATGTAAAATCTGTCAGGCTTTTAACGTAACTTCTCAAAATACTGGTTTATATACTTCTCTGCCTATTCCAAATAAACCTTGGGAGGATATCTCTATAGATTTTGTTTTGGGGTTGCCCGTTACTGCTAGAAAGTTTGATTCTATTTTTGTGGTTGTGGATCGCTTTAGCAAACTGGCACATTTTATTCCTTGCAAGAAAATTTCTGATGGCTCATATATTGCTGACTTGTTCTTTAAAGAAATGGTTCGTCTTTATGGTATTCCTCGCACTTTTACTTTTGATAAAGATACTAGATTTTTGAGTCATTTTTGGAGAACACTTTGGGCAAAATTAACAACTACTATTCAATTTAGCAGTGCATATCATCCACAAACTGAGGGACAAACAAAAGTTGTCAATCAAAGTTTAGGAAATTTATTGAGATGCCTTGCTGGAGAAAAACCATCCCAATGGGATTTGATATTACCCCAAGCTGAATTTGCATACAATAATTCTGTTAATCGCTCCACTGATAAAACTTCAATTGAAATCATTTATGATCAGCTTATATCTCACATTTTATATAGAAATTGTTTGCCTTTGCCAAATAAAATTAGTGCTGAAGCTTCTGAAACTTTTGACCATATCAAAACTATCCAACAAGTCCTTGAAAAACTCTGAATGTCTAATGTTAAATACAAATCTGCTACTGACAAACATCAAAGGGAAGGACATTTTAAAAAGGGAGATTTGTTTATGGCTTACTTTCGTCGCCAACGATTTCTTGTTGGTACTTTTGGAAAATTAAACAAGAAGAAATTTGGGCATTTTTTGTGTTCTAAGAAAATTAGGCTCAAATGCTTATCTCTTGGATCTTCCTATTACTGTTGGCACTTCTCCTGTGTTTAATGTTTCTGACCTTTCTTTGTATGAAGAAAATTTTGATGAAGTGATGTAGAAAGAAAAGCTTGACCAAACAGCAGCCAAACTTGATAGCTTGTTTCGCTTTGTTTTTTTAAGCAGGCTGAACTATTTGTTTATGTTTTTTTTTGAAAAAAAACATAAACACAACTAATATTGTTCAAATTACATCAAAATAAAATAAACCAAAATATAAATGCATCAGAGCATCATCTCTTTAGCAGCAAGTTAGGCATATACAAAAATCCAAGGTGTTAGGTTTGTTCATGTCAAGTTGAGGTGGCTGAGATGGTGTATTGTGCATTGAACTTTAGCAGACACATGAGATTGTCTAAATAGAGAGGAGTATTAGATACCAATCAATGAACTTGTTTCTTAGAAGTCCTCTTGCCTTGATCTTTCTTTCTTCTTTACTTCAAGCCTCCTTAAATCCTTCTGCCCTTGAGCTCTTGGTTCTATGGGATGAAGATGGAGACCATTGAACTTTGCTAGGTTTGAGGAGGAAGAGAACTTTTGTTGTTGATTAGGAGAGGTGGGAGAAAGAGTGCCCATTGACTTAAGTAAAGAGTGGGAGAAAAAAGGGACAACTAGGCATGTAGATAGTTAAACTTGATTCAAATTTTACTTAAATCCAAAGAAAATACATACTGTTACTTTCATATTTTAGCATTTATTTATGGAAACTAGGATCACTCATTTATTTAAAACAAATGAAATGCTGATCTCCATGTGGTTGACCTCCACCTTATTTTTAGGGTTTTTGGCATGTGTCCAGTTTCTCCATCTTGCCATGGATCCATGGCATATTTTGTTATTTGATTTTCCCTTTGGGTATTTTCAAACATGTTTCACAAGTTTCTCCCCAAAATGTGTATTCTCCTTTGAGCCTTGCATGGGTGGCTGTCAAAGGTGTTGTTAGATAATAATTAAATACATCAAATGCACAAACACATCCTCACAAAAAATTGACGTAGTTTAGTGAGATCTATTTACGTCCACTGTTGCAAAGTATTCAATTATCAACTAAACTTCAAAATGAATGCTTGGAGAGATTACACTTCTATTAATGAGGGCATATATATCACTTTATTTATGCCACCGATTAATAGAGAATAAATCCAATTATTGTGAAGATGAAAGTTAGATGCGGAGAGGAGATGATGTTTTTGGGATGACTAGTCCCCTTCATTGTTGTGGTACTTGAATAAAAAAACTCTACCTTTTGATGAAATTGAAGTAGAGAACACCTCGTTTTTAGTGAAGAGTAGAATATCTTCGTTATGCAAGCTTGAGCGACTACCTCCTATCTAGATTGGCACCCCCTTCTTTTTTTCTTTTTGTTTGTGGCTGTGGTATGCTCCATCCATCTACAAGACGCTTTTGTGTTTGTGTGTGCGTGATTCATCATTGTAGATGTTAGGTACTCGGTGGTAGGTGAATATATTATGGTGGTTGTTGGTGGGGAGCTTGATAGATAAGAAACTTATAGGGAGAAAATTTTATCTCAATAACTTGACATAGTATTCCAAATTTGATCCCTTTTTGATTAACATCATGTGGCTGGCCTTTTTTAGTTCAATATTCCATTGACTTAGCTGTCTTGATTGTTTTTAAGTTGACTTGATATTGGTTTCTATCCTTGGAATTTACTTGCTTGACTTGATGTATCACTAGCTTGCATTGGTTTGTTTCTGATCCGCCTTAGAAACAAAAATAACAAACAACAAATAGGAAAATTACAGTAAATCCAAAATGGTGGCTGATTTTTTATTAAAACTTTAATAAGAGTAAACAAAATATAGGTGATCTACAATTCGAGAGGTAAATCGGCTCTCCCATTCAAAGTAGACGCCGCTAGGAAGCCCTCAAAGAAAGAACAACAACAAATATCCACATAACTCATCAATAGCATGACCCTAAAACTCTAGACAACTCCCCTTTAAATAACCCTAGAACACAATAAGATAAATAGAACCTCCCTAAATAATTTAAATATAATTTAAGAAATATTCCTAAATAATTAAACATAATTTAGGAAACTTTCCTAAACAATTAAACATGCTTTAGTAAACCTTCCTAAACAAACTAAACGTGATTTAAGAAACCTTCATAAACAAATTAAACATGATTTAGAAAACCTTTCCAAACAAATCATAAATGATTTAGGAAACCTTCATAAACAATTAAACATAATTTAGAAAATCCTTCTAAACAATTAAACTTGATTTAGAAAATATTCATAAACAATTAAACAGTTTTTCTTGATTTCTCCTCATCACATAATGAATAATAGCTTCCCTAGGTTCACAAGGTGGGCTTCCCCTAACGTTTCAATATTCCCCTCTCAAAGAGCCACCTTGTCCTCAAGGCGGAACAAAGGAAACTCCTGTTGAAGTATATTTTTCTAGTTGCAAAAGTGAATTGGCGAGTAGTTGTAATCTTGCAATGCATTTCTTTGTTGGATCCACATGAAACAACTATAGCATATTTGCTGCTTAAATTCTATCAACAATATTTTTATGTGAAACGATACAAATATTTTTCTTTACATTTCTCTTTTATGAAGAATCTCTTAAAACTCGTGTCAGCATAACTATTATTGACTTGGTTTTGAGTTTTGAATTAAAAAATTCTTCAACGGTAAAAGAATCTTCCCTTATTTCAGAAGAAAATGTATTGCCCTTAAACCCTTTGACAGATTGGACAACTTTCTTTTGTTCTACACTCAGCTTATCCACCAAGATTTTATTTGAATGAAAGAATAAAAAGAATCAGTTGTACATAATTTTTAGTTTTATCTAAAGTATCTTCATTATCTTATCTTATGAAGTCTTGATGCCTGCAATCTTCAATGCGATTTTTACTTTCTTTTGGGAGATTTGCAAGTGAAACAAGTTTCGCTAATGCAGTTTTAACATCAACATCCAACATCCAAGGATACTTCAGTTGAATCTTTCTCTACACCAGAATCAATAATCTTAACAATCCCATATCTGTTCGCAGCTGCCCTACTTTCCCCTCCAACGTCTCAACTCTTTTTCCAGCCATCGGTCCCAAGAAATTGGTATGATACCAATTTTTTATATCGTGGAAGCAAAAACAACAATCAATAATATAAAAACAATAGTAAAACCAAAATGATGGCTGATTTTTTTATTAAAACTTAAATAAGAGAAAACAAGATACTGGTGATCCATAATTCGAGAGGTAGATTAGCTCTTACAATCAGCCTAGACGCTACTAGGAAGTCCTCAAAGAAAATAATTATAGCAAACACCCACAAAACTCATCAATAGCATGATCTTAAAACTCTAGACAATTTCCCCTTAAATAATCCTAGAGCACAATAACATAAATAGAACATTCCTAAACAATTTAAATATACTTTAGGAAACCTTCCTAAATAATAAATCAAATTTAGGAGATCTTCCTAAACAATTAAACATGATTTAGGAAATCTTCCAAAACAAATTAAACATGATTTATGAAATCTTCCTAAACAATTAAATATAATTCATGAAACATTCATAAATAATTAAACAATTTATCCTTGATTTCTTCTCCTGACATACTGAAGCTATTAAATAATAGCTTCTCTTGATCCTACAAGCTGTGCTCCCCCTGACGTATCAGTTTCCTTTGCCATTGTGCTCTTTATCATATCTTGAAGCCTGATGAGCACCTCCTGAACCATGATATGCTAGTGATCTTGAGCCTCTGAAATCCTCCTGGATCACTTGAAATGATTTTCATGTTTGGCAGGGCGTATAATTTGATCCATCCTACATTAATTTTTTAGGAAATGCTGAGTAGGTGATATTACAATATATCTTTGTAAAGATATGGCTAACTAATATAGTCATAATATTGAAAATAGGATATATTTTTGCAGGATATTGCTTTCCGAAGACTTATATTTATAACAATGCTTGCATGGGAGCAACCTTACAGTGAAGGTGATGACTCACGATATCCATTAGAGAAGTCTTCTCTACAGGTTTGTGTTTGCATATGCTACTTTGTTTGGAACATGCATGACTATATAGTACTCTCTATTGTAAGCTTATAAGCCCTAAAGTTGTGATTGGTTAACTATGCATAAACATTTTTTAGCAGTGTTATCAATAATTAATCAATACTTGTGAATTATCCAATCGTGAAAAGCATCGATTTTCAGTATAGAAAAGCATTATGATAAAATATGGGAAATTAGCTGGTTTGAAGGATGATGAAGATTTACTGAGAATATACGTATCTAACCATCATGAAAGTTTCTTTCATTAAATAAAGAAGGGATTCAAATAATTATTGGTAATAGATATATTAAACGAAAATAAGTTGTAGGGATACAACAACAACAACAACAACAATAACATCAAGCCTTTATCCCACTACGTGGGGTTGGCTACATGAATCCTTTTTCTCCATTGTGTTCTATTAAAAGTCAAATTCTCATTTAAACCTAATAAAGAAAGGTCATTCCTAATATTTTCTAACCAAGTCTTTTTAGGTCTACCCCTACCTTTCGGAGGAGAATCATAATGCGCCGCATCACCTGGCATACAGCGGTACACAGCCACGATATACAGAAAAGTAAATTGCCTATGCCACAATGACTACACATGACCCTTTATTATCTTAATTTCATCCAATTATAAGGAGCTAAATATCACAATTTATCTCATTGGCGAGTTATGAAGCTCCAAATCAAGTATAGCTCCAGCTTGAATTCAGACCAAAAAAACAAGTTAATTAACCCAATAGAAAAACAAACGTTGAACCAACAGGAAGATAACAATTTTATCTTCAAAAACAAATCAAAAAAATAATAGAATACATAAAACATGGATTAGTAATAATGATAGAATGATGAGCAATAACAACACCTCTCATGGAGGTAAGGAATGGATTAGGGAATAATGATATAGTATTACATGAAAGATGCACCGTTTAATCTCTTAAATATAGGCCCATTCTTTCCAGTCCAGACCATGTACACCAATATGAAAGCCATTCCATTGAACAAAAGCTCTACTTCTTTACTCCTACCTTGCAACGCCACCATATCCAACGCAGGTTGTCACCGGAGTCTGAATCGGCTTCCACGCCGACGCTGTCAAGAGAGAAAGATCTTTCCACCCAAGCTTAAGCATCACATTCTCTTCCATTAAAGTGTAACCATCCGAAGGAAACATACCGAGAAGAAATGTTGCCTAAGCATGCGCGTTCCCGGCAAGAGAGACGCTACGGAAACCTGACTAGCTCAGTTTCTCCCTCCGATTCCTGAACTTGACCAAGCCGGAACGTGCCGGACCGCCGACGGAGAGCACATTGCGAATCTCTCGCGAAAGCACCTGTGAAATCGAAGCAGCAAAAAAAGATAATGTTCTCGGCCGCGAAGAGGGATAAAAAGGCTTATGCGAGTTCGATCTAGCTGATAACTGGGGTCTCGAGCGTCGTGAGAAGATACAGAAGGAGCGGAGAAATCTACGAAGTGGTTTGATATCGCGGACCTTGGCGAGGATGAAGAAGACAATGGGGGTAGTTCGCAGAGTAAAGGCATTAAAGTATTTCTCATAGCTACGAACCACGGGAAGCAGCCGAAATGTGGGAGTCTTCCGCCAGACGTGAGAAGCAATCGCATGACGCAAAAATTCCTAGAACGGAGCACGATGGTGTACTCCCAAACAACCTCCCAGTTACAATTCATACAGTACAACAGGGAAAAAGCTGTCCCAAACGAAGCCTAAATATACTTCGCACCAATCTTTTTGATGTGCTGTCAGACCTTTACATACATCAGAGCTTAAGAAGTTTATGGTTAACTGTGTCTTGCATGAATTTCTTATATGATGAATTTGTGCCGGAGATATATATTTATATACATACATAATATATATCAATTTATTTAAAAGTCATTAACTGTTACAAAATATTCTTATCTTTATGATTCTACTAGCATTCCTAAACATAGTATTTGCCTTAAATTAATTGAAGCTGATGTTTTGATCAATAATTTATCCAATGCAGATTCAGACACCTCAAATGAATTGATTTATAATCCTTTTCATTTTAATAATATTACAAAATTATGTGTTCGTTAAACATGTCTAGTCATAAGTCATATTAAGACAATTCTTGATAGCTTAATTGCAATAGAGCAATACCATGCAATTATTGTTTTGTAATCCATTTGCAGTAAGTCTTTTAATATTTATTTTAAACCATTTATCATTTACTGAATGTCTCATTCGACGATTATATACTAGAGGTTGATCCATGTTATTTACATTATATTGTAGTCAGTGGATGTATTTGCTATAGATCTATTTAATGAATGAAAACCCATGGACAGCTATCCATTTGTTGTTACTAGTTAGTAGCATGATAACAATGTTTTTCTGAATATTTTTGTACAATCAAAGAAGTATGAGAAATAAGCAACTCGGTGACAATTGGGTCCAAATATTTGGATCTTTCATGATTAAATGAACTTTTGTTATTTTAAAATAACACGTACTTAATAAACATACATCTTTACTAGTAAGCCCAAAAAAATCATGGGAACCATGGTTGACCATTTTGGGTAACCACGTCATGTTCTAGATTCTCTGTTAGTATGCATCAAGCAGTATTTGTGTTGGAGTTATTCATTGGTGGAAAAGTGTCGGTTTTCATTATCCTAATGCATGATGATAAAATATATGGTAGATTACACCGTACTATCAATATATGAGGAATTTTGAAAGATAATAAGGATTTACTGAGAAAATGCATATTTAATCTGCAAGAAGATAGTTTTCATTAAATATAGAAGGGATGCAAATAATTTTTGTAAACAGAGATGAAAAAAAAATATTAACTTGCAATATTAGAGATGTGAGATATTAGAGTACAATTGTTATTCTAGAAATCAAAATAGTTTGGCACCTTTAAATGGACTTCACATTTTAAAATAGGATTTAGTTTTAATTTTTTTGCAACTTACTAATCTTTTGAAGTGCTGTCTGGCATAATAAGCACGTTAACAAAGCATCTATGAAATTCACCACCCAGACAATCAGGTGCTAACTATCTTGATGAGCTGAACTCCCTCAATTGTCTTTGAAAGATCATATATGTGATTATAAGGTTTTGTTTATAATTTGGTATAAGAATTAGCCTTATATTTATTGTGGATCTGCTTCTTTGGGCATTGCATTTTTATTACTGTAACATGCAAATTTAACCTTTTTTCCAACTCCTTATTTTATAGACAAGAGTAGTTGGCGAAAGTGCATTTGTCAGAATTGCTCCGGCACTTGCTGGAGTAGCTGATGCATCAACGTGCCATTATTTGTTTAGAGCTCTTGCTGGAGATGAGCGTGGGATCAGTTTAAACTTGTGGACAAGATATATTGGTGAACTTATCAAGTATGTCTAGATATGTAATCCTAGCTTGTCACAGTTTAAACATTTAATTCTATCATATTATAATATGATTTCTGTTTCGTGAACAAAGAACTGCCTGAAGTGGATTATTTGTCCAAGTATCTTTACCGAAGGCCTCTTCAACTAGTGAAATAAGTTATGTTTGTTGATTAATATGACAAACTGTGCATTGAGGTTGCACTTCAGTTAGATAGATTTTGATTATTTTAAAAGTTTTTTATCTTTTAAATAAGATTCTAACTTACTAGTTACATATTGAATATAGGAATCTAGATATGTTGGTAGGTTAGATGAACACCATTAGTCAACAACTCAAAGAGAACCAAGCTGACATAGTTGAACTCCGTAGAAATACAATTGAACGATTCGATACCCTAGATCGTGGTTGGCACCACCTGACACCCTACACGCCATCTAGACCTCCTTCAATGTACGAGGACGATAATTTTCAAGATAAGGGACCACCCCGTGCCCCTTATCGAGCTCCCTAGTATGGACATGACCATAACCTTGACCCGAATATTCCACTAATGAAAAATATCATGGTCGATGCTCCAACCTTTGACGGTACCCTTGATCCCCAGCTCTTTCTGGACTAGATTAAGGGCATGGATAGCTTATTTAAATGGTTACAACATCTCTGAAGCTATGAAGGTCCGATTCGTTGAAATGAAGCTCAATGGTAGGGCTAATCAATTTTGGTCCAACCTTGAAAGGCTTAGGGAATCTAGAAACAAATATCCCATCAATGCTTGGCAGTCAATGAAGCATGAGCTCAAATAGAAGTACTTGCCTCCCTCGTACTTCCCCAGGCTCTTAGATAGGTGGAATAGGTTGACTCAGGGCAACAAACCAGTCAAGGATTACATCGCATCTTTTGATGATTATCTGATTCGTTGCAAAGGAGAGACTTCTACTACCCCCACGCAAATTCTATCCATGTTTTGTATCAGGTTGCATGAGGATCTTCGCAACGGAATGTTTGCCCGAAACGTTACTATCCTTTAAAATACCTACAGCTTAGTGTTAGGCCTTTAGGAAACCTGTCCCCAACACCTTAGTCGGCACCAAGACTTTAGGCCTTCTTACAGACCTTACGGTAGTTCCACTCCTCACACCTCCACTGCCCGGCCGACCCCAAGAAACACCACCCGACCATCTTCTGGTCCTCCCACACCTCGTCTTGATTTTAGAAGTTGCATCCATGTGTCTCCTCCAGCATGGTGTCTTAGCTTGGCCTGTCTGTCACTATTCACCCCAACCCTTATAAGGTAGCTTGGGTTAACTCCATTGCATTGGAGGTGAAGGAACAAAGCTTCATACCTATCTCCTTCGCTGACTATAAGGAGAATATTTGGTGTGATGTGTTAATTATGGATGTTGGACAAAATGTCACTTCGAAAATTTCTTGTTTGGGAATTACATGCTGGAGGTTTAGCGGGTCACTTCGGACAAGCCAAAACAATAGTCGCTGTTGAAAATATATTTTATTGGCCGAGTCTTAAGAGGGACGTTAGTAGGTTAGTGAAGCGATGTCACACCTGTCAATTGGTCAAACAACGGAAATAAAACACCGGCCTTTACACACCACTCCCCGTTCCTAATCAATCTTGGCAGGATTTTAGCATGGACTTTGTCTTAAGGTTACCCAAGACCATTAGGAAGCATGATTCAATGTGCATAGTTGTAGATAGATTTTCTAAGATGGCCCATTTTCTCCCGTGCTCTAAAACTTTTGATGCTTCTAGAGTAGCCAAGCTGTATTTTAATGAAATTGTGAGACTTCACGGGCTGCCTAAAACCATTGTGTCGGACCGAGATGTAAGATTTACAAGTTATTTTTGGAAGACGTTGTGGCACAAAATGAGGACCAAGCTTCAATTCTCTATTGCCTTTCACCCCCAAACAGACGGTCAAACTGAAGTGGTGAATAGGAGTTTATGAAATCTTTTAAGGACATTGGTAGGAGAAATGCTTCAATTCTCTATTGCCTTTCACCCCCAAACAGATGTTCAAATAGCTTCAATTCTCTATTGCCCATCCACCGCCACTTAAATGACGTATGGCCGATCCAGAAATTGATAGCGGATTTGTGCTCGACATCTACGACGACATCCACATCACCCGCTCACAGTTCTTCGACGTTGGCTTCGGCTTCGACGACACTGTTGAAGACTATTTGAACCGCATCCTTCCCACTCTCGTAGATGTTCTAGATGATCAATTCCAGGACTACGATTGGATCATCGTCGGCCACCCCCGTCCTCATCACCACCGGCTAACGATCCGTCAACGAAGGTCTTTGGCGCCATCTTCCTAATGGTAATATCCTTCTTCGTATGGTTCTTCTTTCTCCGCTAAAGCCTACAAGTAGTTGAGTGAGAAGGCTCTTGAGGTGAACATCTCGTTGTTAAACGTTGGATTATGTTATGTGTACTTATCATTTACTCTTGCCTTGAATTTGATGGAATTGTTTGGTTAATCTCTATTGCACATCTTTGGCCTAAGCAAGTTGATAACTTAAAATTCATAATCTTCTTTTATGTGCTAGTGGTAAATTTTTATGAGCAAAGCTTTATTCAATTGTCTTTCTAATTTTTAACGGTAACTCCTAGTTGTTTCACATCAAGGGGTTTCTGCAGACCTCGAGAAGGTGAAAGCCATTGTAGAATGGCCTGTTCCTCAAAGCATCCGGGAAGTTCACAGCTTCCACAGTCTTACCACCTATAAGAGATTTATTCGAAACTTTAGCACCATCGTATCTCCTATCACTGATTGTCTCAAGAAATGTGATTTTCATTGGATCCCGGTTGCCACCAAAGCCTTTGAAGAGATTAAGAAAAGAATGGTGGAAGCCCCAATAATGAAACTTTCTGACTTCTCCAAAGTCTTCGATGTTACCTGCGATGCTTGGGGGTAGCAATTAGAGGAGTCTTGTCCCAAGAAAGTCACCCTATTGCTTATTTTAACAAGAAGCTAAATGACATCCAACAGCGCTACTCCACATATGACAAATAGTTCTATATGGTGATCAAATCTCTTCATTATTGGCGACACTTCTTGCTTCCGCAAGAGTTCGTTATCTTTTTGGATCACGATGCTCTACGTTATATCAACTTCCAAAAAAAGTTGAACGCACGTCCCGGTCGTTGGGTAGAATTCATTCAAGAATACAATTATACCCTTAGGCACAAGGCGGGAGTTGAAAATAAAGTTGCCGATGCCCTCATCGTCGTATGATAATTACCACTGCAATGAGGGCCGAAGTCGTAGGATTTGATCAAGTCAAAAGGGATTATTTGGAATGCTCTGACTTCAAGGAGACTTACTCTTTTTTGTCCACAGGTAGCACACGCCTTGTGGATGATTTTCTCCTTGAGGATTGATATCTTTTCAAAGCTCAGAAGTTTTGTATCCCTAGCATATCCCTTAGGGAATTCCTCATTTGGGAACTCCATGTTGGAGGCCTCGTTGGACACTTTGGTCGTGACAAAATGATAGAAGACGTAGTGTACCACTTCTTCTGGCCCAACCTGAACAAGGATGCTGGGAAAATGGTTAGTAGGTGCCACACCTTCCAATTGGCCAAACAACGTAAACAAAACACTGGACTGTACACCCCTTTGCCTATTCCCAGTTGTCCGTGCCAGGACATTAGCATGGACTTTATCCTAGGTCTACCTAAAACACTTCGTAAGAATGACGCCATATGTGTCGTAGTTGACCATTTTTCCAAAATATCCCATTTCCTACCCTGGTCCAAGACATATGATGCCTCCAATATTGCCAAACTCTATTTTAACGAGGTTGTTAGATTATATGGTTTGTTTAAAACCATCGTAACTGATAGGGATGTTAAGTTCACTTGTCATTTTTGAAAAACTCTTTGGATGAAAATGTGCACTAAGCTACACTTCTCCACCGCCTTTCATCCCCAAACTGATGGCCAAACCGAAGTGGTCTATTGGAGTTTAGGCAATTTGTTAAGGTCCATAGTAGGTGAACATATTAAGGATTGGGATTTCAAACTCCCTACAGCCGAATTCACCTACAATAATTCCGTGAACCGCACCACTAGCTTAAGCTATGTTGAAATTGTTTTTGGGTACAAACCTAGACAGCCTTTAGATCTCATCCCCATGTGTTCTAGATATAGAATTTCTGAGTCTGCATCCTCATTTGCATCACATTTGCATGAATTTCATAAGAAAATTGCTCGCCAAATTGAACAGAGCTATAATAATTATAAACTTCAAGCTGATTCTAAATGAAGATTTAAAATTTTTTAGGTTGGTTATTCAGTGATTGTGCGGATTCGTCCGAAACGGTTCCCACATGGAACTGTTAAGAAGTTACATGCTAGAAGTGCGGGGTCATTCAAAATAGTCAAGAAAATCAATGACAATGCTTACGTGGTGGATCTGCCTGTAGAGTTCAACATTAATCCCTCTTTTAACATAGATGATTTAGTAGCCTATGAGGGTCCAGAATTTAACCCACTAAATCCACTTCAAACTGAGCCTTGTGTGACCCCACCATGTGAGAACCCAAGCCTAACTCCACTCACAAATATTCTCAAAATACCTATAACGGAGAAGGTTGACATGATTCTAAGTGATAACATTATTTCCACAAAAGAGGGTGGACAAAGAAGGTATCTGATAAGGTGGAGAGGTAAACCGAAATCAGAGGATACGTGGCTAGAGCGTGAGGAGCTTCAGCAGATCGATCAAGATGCACTAGAGTTTTATGAGAGCACCCGGGACGCTTACTCGACAGAATCGAGCTCTTTCCCACCCCGGGAGAATGATGAGGACATCAAGCCTTGAAGAATTTACCAGAGGCAGGACCGACGATCTACTGCCACGATCGCACTGATCTACTTTTGATTATCATTGTATTAGATTTATTATTTTATTATGTTTCATGAGTTTATTGTACTTTTCCATTTATGCCCTTGCTTAAGGGCCTAGTCATGTGTA